TGCTGGATGTCCCTCCTTCCCTGGCTGGATGTGTGCCATGCTGCAAGAAGGGCACCAGCCAGTGCCTGTGGGGGGAACCTGTGTCCTGAAGGGACAATTTCTGTTCTGTGGCTTGATCCACACCCATGGAAAGTCCTTCTAGTCCTTGGGAATTCCTACATATTTATTTCCAAGACCTGCAGAGCTGACCCAGCACAGGAAGGAGCTGGAGCTGCTGGAGAGAGTCCAGAGCAGGCACCAGGATGAGCAGAGGATGGAGCAGCTCTGCTGGGAGGAAAGGCTGGGAGAGCTGGGGTTGTTCAGCCTGGTGAGGAGAAAAGCTTCTGACTGAACTCACTGGCCCTCAGTATCTGAAGGAGCCGAAAAAAAGATGGAGAGAGACAATTTCCAAAGGCCTGGAGTGCCAGGCCAAGGGGGAATGGCTTCCCACTGCCAGAGGGCAGGGTTAGGTGGGATATTGGGAAGAAATCCTTCTTGTGAGGGTGGTGAGACCCTGGCACAGATTGCCCAGAGCAGCTGTGGCTGCCCCATCCCTGGAAGTGTCCAAGGCCAGGTTGGATGGGGTTTGTAGCAACCTGGGATAGTGGAAGGTGTCCCTGCCCATGGCAGGGGTGGGACTGGGTAATCTTTAATGTCCCTTCCAACCCAAACCATTCCATGGTTCCATGATTCTGCTGACCAAAGACATTCCCAGAGCCTTGTCCTGCCTGTCCTCTGGTGCTGCTCCTGGCTGTGTCCCTTCACAGAGTCAGTGGCTGGTGAACCTGGGACAGGTTCCCAAAAGTTGGGCTGCTGAGTGCTCTGCCTGCTGAAGTTTGATCTCTAACTCAAGGAACCTCTCCCTGCTCCTCTGCTGGGCACACTCCACTCCTTGGACGTGCACAAAGAAAACTCAAGCGTTTTACAGAAGAAGAAACGTGTCTCATGGATATGTATAAAACTGGCCAAGTTTTTGCAGGGAAATTGTGTGTTTCCTCCTCTTTGGACTTGCTCCTTCCTCCTCTTAACACGTGGAACAAATGTCTCCTTTGGAGCGTGATGGGGTAACTTGGAGAGGTCTGCAGAATTGCTACACATGGACCCTGGGCTGGTTTTATTTTTCTATTGAACCTTGATGGAAACGCATGCACAGCAAGTCAGGGCCTGTCCCTTTTCCTTTCTCCTTTCTCTCTCCCTCTCTCTCTCTCTCTCTCTTTTTTTTTTTTTTTTTTTATTTCTTCCAGGAGTGCTGATGATAAGAAAAGCAATGTCTAAATCTTCTTAATGGTGTTTATGCAAGCAGTTTTGCTTAGCTGCAGTCCCTGCCACCCCCTCCCCCGTCCACCCTCCCCTCCCATCTCCCTGCTAATATCGCTGCTTCATTCCTTTCCCTGTTGGCTATTACTATGGACTACAGCGAATCTAAAACTAAATAATCCCCTTAGTGTCAAGTTTTCTGGGCTGAGCAAATAAATCTAACCAAATGCATTATCTAGGTAGAGGAGGCTGTTGTAAGGGGGGAAAAAAGATAAAGGCTATTTTACTTTAAGGCAAAGAGTAAAACCATCATTTTTCATTCACATTGTACTTTTAAAGTTTTTTTCTTTTTAATTTTATTTTAAGTTTCCTGTTCAATCCTTTTCTTTTTCCATTGTAATTTAAAAAAATAAAGAAATGCAGCAAAGCCTCTGATTTTGAGCATTAAATAGAGGGAGAAAGACCTCAGATAAGGTGCCATTCAAATCCCCCTCTCAGACGGGTAATTCTGATCAGGCAGTAAAGTGGTCTAAATAAATAAACCCTTCCCCACTTCTCCTTCCCTGGGGAGGGGGGATGAGGATATTAGAAAACTCATTTACAGGAGGAAGAGCACGTGGAAATCTGCATGTCCCAGGATGAGGTGCAGAGGTCTGGATTCAGCCCAGCACAGGACTGGATGTGTCTCTGTGTGGTAAATCAAAAGCCCAATTTTGGGGATGCTTCAGCCTGTGTTTGCAAGTAGGGCTAACCCAAACCTGGGGACAAAATGCCTCAGACCTGGAGAATTGTGCACTTTAACTCCCATTTTCATCTGGCAGGTCTTTGAAAGCACGAGCAAAGCCATCCTGCTGTTATCCAGCTCCTCTCTTGCACAACTCCAGGCCCATGGAGCTCTGCTGGATTCGTGGCAGCCAAAAATCTCGTTGACATTGTCCCCATCTCTGCTGGACTCCACACTTGAACCAGCTTGGGCAGCTCTGCCTTGCTCACCAGCCTCCCCTCCTTCCTGATCCTACAGCCCATGGGATGTGAGGAACACATGGCAATCCCACCAGAGCATAAACCCCATAAATGACCCAATACCAGCATCATTTACCTGAATTCTTCCTCTTCATACTGGTTTGTTTCAAACACACTCCACGTTAAGAAGGTGTCTGGTGTGGCTCTTGGAAAAGCAGAGCCTAACTCAAACGTTTCTTTAAAATAAAGGCATTTTGGCCAACATTAACCACTGACAAACACATCACTCCCAATGCCCTCCCTTCCTGCTTTTGCCCCCAGCTTTCCACACTGAGAATGACAAACACAGCCCCATCTCAGCTACTCTGAAGGAAACTAACTCTAGCCCAGCCCAAACCAGCACAACAAAATAAAACCCCAATGGGTTGTTGGGTTTGCACCCACGGGATCAGGGAAGATCAGAAAATCAGAAATCACCCAGCCAAATTCTGCTCTTGCCCCAGTTCAAGGGTTTTTTTCCACTTGAACATCAGTTTGAGAATAATTAAGTCAACAACATTTTCTCTGCATTTGCTTTAATCCCTTTGTATATGTTTTGGGTTCCCCATCTCTGCAGCCAGCCTGTCAGGGAGATCTGCTCCTAAGATCCATTAATCTTTAAATTTCTTCTGTTCTAGACAGGCAGATATTCCTGTTTGAAACTGATTCATTGCTTCTTTCTTGTTCCTTTTTATTTTTATTTTAAAAATTCTTATCATTTTTTGACCCCACCATGTTAGAGCTAAAACCCCAGGGAGAAGAATAGATTTGTTCTAGAAGTTGATTTTATAAATCTTCTCAAAGGAAATAAAATCTCAGGCACTGCTCACATCGAAAAAAAAATGTCAAAGACCACTCCATTGTGTTTTGGGATGGGGATCTGCAATAGACGTCACCAGTAATGATGAACCAGCTCTTGACCTGCTCCTGGTCTGCACAGCAAGGACACCAGGTGAGGACCAGGCTCAACCAATTTCCAACACAATAGCACAAGCATCCTGCTCATTTTAATCTAATATTCTTTGAAACATCTGCACAAAAATACCTGCCTGGCTAAGGATGAACTCCAAAAGCCAAGGAAAAACTGCAGTCCTTGATAAACAAGCTGAAGGAAATTCTGTGAGAAGGTCAGGCTGGATTGATGAAGAGCAGCCCCTGGAGAAGGACTTGGGCTGCAGGTGGGGAGGGCTGGCCCTGCCCCATCCCAGGACCCCCCTGTGTGGGGCTGATCCCCCAGCATGGGCAGCAGGAAAGGGATTGGGATTCTGCCCCACTCAGGTGAGACCCCACCTGCAGAGCTGCCCCAGCCCTGGGGCCAAGCACAGGAAGGAGCTGGAGCTGCTGGAGAGAGTCCAGAGCAGGCACCAGGATGAGCAGAGGATGGAGGAAAGGCTGGGAGAGAGCTGGAATTGTTCAGCCTGGAGAAGAGAAAGTTCTCATCGACCTAATTGTGTCCTTCCAGTGCCTGAAGGAGTCAACAGGAAACATGGAGAGAGAGGGTCTGGAGTTTCAGGACAGGGAAGAATGGCTTCAAACTGCCAGGGGGCAGGATTAGATGGGATATTGGGAAGAAATTCCTCCTTGTGAGGGTGGGCAGGCCCTGGCACAGGTTGCCCAGAGAAGCTGTGGTTGCCCCTGGGTCTCTGGCAGTGTCCAAGGCCAGGTTGGACAGAGCTTGGAGCACCCTGAGATAGTGGAAGTTGTCCCTGCCCATGGCAAGGGTGGAAATGGATGATTTTAAGGTAACTTTCAACTCAGACCATTCCATGATTCTCTGATTTCCCATGTGCCCTAAGATATTCTGCAACTACTTCCATGGTGTTAGTGTATCACCCAGCACTCCTGTTTCCTGAAAAAACACCAAATGCAGTTCAGGTCATAAACCTGATGTTCCTTAGGACCCCCATCTGGGACTTGGAGTCAATCCTGATGCTTCCCTGTCTTTCCTGGCACTCTGTCACTCACTACCTCTGCCTTTTTCTGGTTTATATAAGGCTGAATCACCATCGTCCACCGGGATTCTCTGCCAGATGACTGGTCCTGGGATGGGGCCAGGGGCACAGAGCCAGGATGGATTGAGCCTGTCATACAGTGTATGGGATTTCTGGGCTCAAGCCTGGAGGGTTTGGGAGGCAGAGGAGGACCAGGAGCCAAGCAGAGACAAGACAGCTCCTGGGACATGAGGCAGCAAGAGCAGGAAGCAGAATTTGCTGAGGGTCTTTCTGAGCAGTAGATTTGGTTGAACCAGACCTGGCTGCCTTCTAGCATGGCCTCTTCACCAAACAAAGCCTCGAGGCTACCACTGGAAAAAAAGATCTGCCCCTCATCAGGTGAACACCCTGCTGTGCTTTCACTTTTGCTCAGCAACATGAGGCTGGAGCTGAAACAACTTTGAAAGTGCCACTTTGTTCTTGTATTTGGAGGGGCTGGTCCCACACGAAGGAGAAGAAGGGATTTGTCCAGGTCCCTCTGGTTATGAATCCTTCTTCTCCTGGAGATCAGACATGCACATTATGAGACAAATACAGGAGCACACAGATGGAGGATCACAGGATCACAGAATCTCCTGAGCTGAAAGGGACCCACAGAGATCATCCAGTCCAACCCCTGGCCCTGCACAGACACGCCAACAATCCCACCCTGTGCATCCCTGAGGGTGTTATCCAAACACTCCTGGAGCTCTGGCAGCCTTGGGGCTGTGCCCATTCCCTGGGGAGCCTGGGCAGTGCCCAGCACCCTCTGGGGGAAGAACCTTTTCCTGATATCCAACCTAAACCTCCCTGACCTAGCTCCAGCCATTCCCTGGGGTCCTGTCCCAGGTCACAGAGAGAAGAGGTCACCAGGATGCTGGGATGCTCCTGACAGCCCCTGGATCACGTGTCTAAGCACAGGGTCAGCCAGTGACCCCCAGACCAAACATTTGTGAGCTGTTAATGACCCTGTCAATAAACTGCAGCTTCAGTGCTGGTGTCAGGTTTACACTGTGACTTATTAGCTCTTGGTGACTTGAGGGTCAAGGAGGTGAAGCAGCTTGCCCTCTTCTTCATCAAGTGAAAATTCCCTTACTTCCAAGCCTTTACCACAGTGTCCTTACTCTTTTAGGAGCCTGGTGAATTTATTCTCACCAAGAATTTATATGGTGAATTTATATGTCTGACCCTTTCCTTGATGCCATGACAGTTGCCATCCTGTGTTATTTTCCTTATTATCCCACAGTTTATCATTTGACATCAATTTATGTGCCAATGCCCCGAGCAACTTCATCTCTTTGGGTGTGTTGTGGTGTTCTTCTGCTGGGCACAGAGAGCTGCCCACAAAGCTGTGTTGCTTTTAGGCAAATCTTTTCCCTGGTACCTGCCACTCCTGGCCTCCAGCCTTGCCCATCACTCGGCAGGTTGGGAATGCTGAGACACAGCTCTCTCTGGCATTCTCTCTTTGGCAGCAGCAAGGAGAGTTTACAGCCTGCTCAACCCAGGGAGGAGAGCAGGCAAACTGCTCCCAGCCTTTCCTTGCAGTCCAGGTGTATCCCTCTCTCATGGCTTTTGTGAGCAAGCTGTGACTGGAAAATATTTCCATCGCTGCACCAGATCCCTGGCTCTGCCAAAACCGGCTGCATCTGCTCCCATAATCATTCCCAACCACACCATTTACCCACAGGTCTGTTTTTGTCTATTGCCATGGGTTCCCAGCAGGTTTTGAACTGGTGACAGATGATAAATGTGAGAAAAGTCTGCTAAAAAAAAAGGGACCATCTTCAACCTCGCTGCCAGCTTTCTGTCACTGTAGCATTCCAGGGCTGGGAGTGTGTGATGGCTTTGACCTTGATTATATTGATGATAATTCATCTGCAAAAACACTCCAAGTGTGCATTATATATTATATATTATACACCCAAAAAAAAGAGCCTTGTTTTATTTTACTTGGCCTTTGTGACACAGGAATGTGGAGTTTAAAGGACCCTTTCCATCACTAAGGTGACATCTCTTTGTTATATCCTTCTTATAATCTCTGTTTCCTTAGTTTGGTTGTTTTTTCTTCTTCCATAAGTTTCCATCCTTTTTGGGAGGCTTTTCTTGGGGAGGGGGGTGGATCTTCTCATGGTCACTGATTTCCTGCCTCAATTTACTCATGGTCGTTTTATCTCATTTCCTCAGTTGCCAACTCTGCCCTTTGCTGGGAGCAGCCCCTTCCTCTCCCTCACTTCTAATCTCCCAATAGATTTCCTGAAGATTTTCTGAAGATTTCCTCAGTTTCCCTTCATGGGAGAAACCAAGCCAAGCTCTTTCTGCCTCATGTGTGGGACATGTCCCTTAGCCAGCCATGGTTCCTGAGGAGCTCATCTTTCCCCAAGGGGTGACTGGGAGAGCTGGGAGTTTCCCCAGGTCTGGAATCAGCAGTGCAGAGTACAGGCATATCAACCCTGCCTCTCTCCACTGCAAACACCTTTCCTCAGACATCCCACCATCCCTGGCTTTCCCTCCCTCCCTGGTCACAAGCCAGGAAAACACCAGGAAAGCCTGAATGTCCCACATTTCTTATATCCTTGGACATCCTCCACCCTCTTCCCTCAACACATCCCGACTCTGGCCCTAGCTCAGCTGTAATCTTGGCTCTCAGTGCTCCATCCTTCTGACTGATCCTGCATCCCAGAAGTTCCCTGTGCCACGTCTGCCTGTCCCAAGGCAAACTGTCACAAGGTTGTCCTGACTCAGCTATGCTGGAGCTTCTCTTGGTTCATGTGAATCTTAGAGAGGTTTTTTTCCCCACCTCACTACAGCTGGATGAAGAATAATGAATAATTATGGGTTCTAGCATTCCTCACACGGCCTCTGGCATATCTCCTGGGACTCCAAGGTGACACCCCACAGGGACTGCACAGCTGTCTTTTGTCCCCAGATAAAGCTGTTGTGGTTTGTTCCTCCTTATTTCCCAATTTCTCAGCACGGATGTTTTGGGTTGCCGAGTTCTGCAGGGACAGCTCCAGGAGATAACATCTGCAGAGAGAGGGATCACTAAACGACTTGGTCACAGCACTGGGATTTCCAGGTCCTCCTCTAAATGGAAAACCCTTAATGACATGTCTCTCCTCTTCCATGTTGTGTGCAGGAGATGTCAATGCCCAGCTTATTGGCATCTCTGGGTGGCTGGACAAGGACTGCACACCCAGCAGTGCCACTTCCACAGTAATTCAGCTGGCTGGGATGGCCTCCAGCCATTGTCACACCAAGACATGTGGGCCTTTTGTTGGAGGGACTCGAGAAGGTCTCAGGACATCCTGAAAAGGAAAGGGCTGTGCTCCCACCAGGGCTGGTGATGCCTCTCCATGCTGAGCCAGGGAAATGCCCACCAACCTCTGGGGAGCCCCCAGCCTTCATTCAGGAATTGCATCTGTCTCACATGGATGGTTTGTGTCCTAGTCCATCTGAGGGATCTGCTTTTGGGGACACAGTGGTTTCCCAGCCTTACCTTTCTCACAAAAGCCTCCCTCAGTGGTCAGAGGCTCCAGGTGCTCCAGGACCAAGCAATGGCTCCCAGCAGGTTTGGGGCCCATCCAGTGGCTGGAAGGGCAGTGCCTCCCAGGGACACACACACACATATGCACTTCCAGGGAGAGAAAGTCTCTGAGTTCTTTTGTAAGCACATTGAAACACTTTAAAAATAAAATTATAGTCGTAAAAACCACAGATTCCACTGAACTCATTCCTCCTACTTGAAACTGTTATCCCGGGGTAGCCCCAAAGCTTTGGAAAAGGCACAGAGCACATCTTCATTAAGATAAAGCTGCCACGAGGCCAAGGGGGAATAGCCAGAATTACAATTCACTCCAAATACTCCGTGCTACACAGGGAGGAGTTTTGGCCAGAGATGCTGAAAGACGTGAGTGATGGAGGACACGGATTCACTCTGGCATCCAGAACTCCTCCTCCTCCTCCAAACAAACAAAAGCAAAGTTTTGAAGTCAATCACTGAAGGATTCGGACTCATCTGAGACAGATCAAAGCTTTTCATTTCCACTGTGACATCACTCACTGGTGTTATCTACACGGGGATTCTTAAAACACGGAAAAATAAGGGGGTTTGGGACATAAAGTGGAAGGGTTTCCTTCTTCAAATGAACAAGCAGGATCTTATGGGATTGTCGTAACTTCATTTTCCTGCTGTGTTTTCCTCTCCTACTCTAATTTTTGATAAAATGAGTGTGACTTTCAAAGCCTATGAGCATTGGAGTCAACAGGATTAAAAATTATAGTATAAAAAATTAGTATATATAGTATATATATACTAATATACTAATATATACTAATATACTAATATATATTATCCTATAAAAATTCTATGTAAGTAAATCGATATTATAGTTATTATATATATGGCATAGAACATAAAAATACATTCATTTATATAATACATAGAGCATATATGTTTGGTATGGGACATACATCAAATATATTCCATCCCATAGAATATAGACAACAGAGACATTTGATTCAACAGTTCTGCTGACCCTTTTCCAAAACATATGAGAGGGGGAAAAAAACCTCAAAAATAATTCAAAAAGCACTTTCACACAGGATTCCATTTTTTTTCCAAGGAACTCATTGCTGTTAGACACAACTTAGGCCAAGGTTTTACTGGAATTCAGACAAAAAGTGGTCTTTGCTATAGGGAAAATGCTATAGTGATAGCTTTTGCAATCACTAACAATAGTGATTTAAGGAAAACCATGGGGATGACGATGGGATCATAGAATATTCCGAGCTGGAATGGACACACAACGATTGAACTCCAGCTCCTGGCCCTACACAGACACCCCAACAATTCCACCCTGTCCCTGAGAGTGTTATCCAAACACTCTTGGAGTCCTGGCAGCCCTGGGGCTGTCCCCATTCCCCGAGGAGCCAGTTCAGTGTCCCAGCACTTCCAGAGGGAAGAACCTTTTCCTGATATCCACCCTAACTGCCTCCCGACAGGGCTTGATAGCCCAGATGCTGCTCATTCCCTGTCCAGACAGCTGAGCTGCAGGATCTGACAGCTCTGCCCCACAGCACCACACAGCCCTCACTCATCCCAGGAGCCAGACACTCCCTAATAAAATTCCTGCATGTCAGGTCAATGGAGGGAATGTCTGCAGTCAAGTCTGCACTTTAAGGTGCTCACTTCCAGCCAGGCATCCAGGAAAGACTCTTCCCCAAGACTGTACAAGACCTCAGCTGGAGTTTCCAACCAATGAGTGGGAAAAGTGGGGAACAGGGTGCCAGAAAAAAAAAAAAAAAAAAGCGGAGGTGTTTTGAAGATGCTGATTTCGAGTGCTATTAAAAATGCTGCCCACATAGCCTTTTAACCCTCCAAGATATCAGATAAGTTTCTCTTTCCTGCGGGGAGATGAAGTGGCTGTCATTATCTGGAAGGGCTGTATCATATCGGAATCTGCCGGCGCAGGTCAGCGAGTCCGGGCTGCTCTGGGCCCGGCTCCGGCACTGAATTACATTTCCTGGGCACAAAGGCTGCAGAATGGGTGGGTGCTTTGTCATTTAAACTGCATAAAGAGGCAGAAATTGATTTTTATTGTGGATCTTCATATCTAATAAAGCTCTGAGGGGCTCTTTTCTTCTCCGATTGAATGGCCATTGAATGCTTTCAATCTAGTTCTGTGTTTCATGCCTAAACTGAATAGTGGCAGGAGGAAAATAGATGGGGGGAAGAGAGGCCAAGTCACTTTCCAGATTGAAAAGGATACAGAAGGGAAATAAATAAAAAAATAAAGTAAAATAAAGTAAAAATGAATCAGGAAAAAAAAAGCCATTTGAGTGAAAAGGGGAACTTTCCTGGTGCTG